ATTGGTACACAGAGCAGTTGAGATAAATCAGGCAGGTTATTTGTGAATCTGTCTTTGGTGGCTGGAACAATAGTTCTGCCCGGACGATAACGCGGAGCCATATAGTTAATATTAGTAATACGCAGCATGCACGATACAAGGAAATGGTCAGTAACATCATTGCTTTGAGGTACGATATCTATATCAGTAAGATCAATTCCATGCGATATAGACAAAATATATGATCTATGATCTGCTTTGTAAAAAAAGAGGTGTTAAGATGTAAGGTTAATGTACATCCAGCCTGTTACTTATATGTTTTAATCCATTACCATGTTCAAAACAGTTTTCTGTAATTCAATTCTATAATAAGAGTCCAATCTACCATGACACATAAGGAAATATTTGACACAGATATTACAAAACCATACAAATAAAGTATTTCTTTATGATATAAGTCAGGGGTATTCTATTTAAGTTCCAAGAGGCATGGCCTCTATATTTTCTTCCAAGCAAAAGTCCGGACAAAAAAAAAAAAATTACATGTATTGTATTTTTACATTTAGATACATGTGAGGCCATGTGACAAAAAAAAACAAAACACTGTTTGTTATTGTCACGAGTGCATTGCTGAGTGGAGTGAGGAGCAAGGAACGGAGAGAGACGAGGAGTACATCAATCCAAATGGGCTTAATTAAGACAAAGGATCATGGAACACTCACGCTATATATGTAGACATGAACAATACCGGATGCTGAACTAAAGACAGGGAACACTATTTAAACACATGACAAGACGAGGGGATGACGAGACACACCTGGGATCAATGAAAACAAACTGGGAACACCTGGGATTAAATCAACATAATCAGGACAGGAACAGGAAACTAACCAAATGTGGGCATAAACACTGGGACACAGGGAGCACATGGGGAACAAAACACAACACAAGCCTGACATCACTCCCCCCTCTGGAAGGCGCGACCTCGCGTCAAAGAACATCAAAGGGGTTGGAAGGTGGGCACCTTGGCGATCCCTAAGGACAGGCTTGGACACGACGGGATCCCCAAGGCGGTCCCAGATCCGGGCGCATTGGCGAATCTGGCGGTTCGGGGCGCCATGGCGGATCTGGCAGTTCAGGTTGCCATGGTGGAGCTCGTAGCTCAGGGGGCCATGGCGGAGCAGGCAGTTCAGGTTGCCATGGCGGAGCTGGAAGCTCAGGGGGCCATGACAGAGCAGGCAGGTCAGGTTGCCATGGCGGAGCTGGTAGCTCAGGGGGCCATGGCGGAGCAGGCAGTTTAGGTTGCCATGGTGGAGCTGGTAGTTCAGGTTGCCATGGCGGAGCTGGTAGCTCAGGGGGCCATGACGGAGCAGGCAGTTCAGGAGGCCATGGCGGAATCTCTGTTGCCTTAGTCGGCTCGACCACAGGTATATGCCCCCCCAAAAATTTTCTTGAGAAAAACTAGGAATCCTGGGGGGCGCTCTGGAGGAGCGGGCACTTGAGGGCGCTCTGGAGGAGATTCAGGGACTGGAGCCCTCCTTGGGCTAAACACGGGGACAGGAGCCCTCACTGGCCTAAACTTGGGAACTGGAAACCTCTCTGGGTTATACACGGGAACAGGAGCCCTCCGTGGGCTATACTCGGGAACAGGAGCCCTTCGTGGGCTTAACGGGATATCCGGAGCCCTTCCTGGGCAGAACTGTGGATCAGGAACCCGTCCTAGGCTAAACGAGGAATCAGGAGCCCCCACTGGGCTTAACTGGGGATCAGGAGCCCTCCCTGGGCTTAACTGGGGATCTGGAGCTCTCCCTGGGCTAAACTCGGGGACTGGGAAGTGCTTACGAGGAGCTGGCACTGGAGGGTGCTCTGGAGGAGCAGGCACAGCAAGGCGCTTTCGAGGAGCTGGCACTGGAGCGAGCTCTGGGGCTCGCAGGCTAGACTGAGGAACCT